CTGAGGCTCAAGAATTGCTTGAACAGGGGAGGCCGAGCTTGCAGTGAGCCGAGATCACGCCACTACACTCCAGCCTGGGCAACAGAGTAAGACACGGTCTCCAAAAAAAAACAAAACAAAAAAACAAAGTTAGAGCAAGCAGCCTATACTAAAGGCCCACAAGGGCCTTCGTCTCCCTGTGACATACCAAGATCTCACTTTCTTTCCTGCCATATTAAACAAGATATGCATTTGAGGAAGAGAAAATATGGCCAGATCCCAAGGGAAGGCTCTGATTCAGCTTACCTATTCCTGCTGCATTAAGAGAAAGCTGAATGGAGGTTCATAACTCTGTTCATGTTAAACATGGATCAATAGATTCTCTAGAATCTGGTCAATCTGTAAACAACCCCTCTCTGGGAAAAGGTGAAGATTAGGAAAGAAGGGAAGGTATTGAGCCTCCTGTTGGAAGTAAATGCTCGGTGCCACCAAGTGAAAATAGCACTCAGGCAAAAGTTTTCTCAGCAAGGCAACTTAATTCTATAGAAGGATGCGTCTCATGGATGGAGCAATGGCAAGAACACAGTCTAAGCTAATTCCAATTGCCTGTTTTAAAGAGAGTGAGGGTACAAGCCAGAGTGGCAGGGTGAGTAGTTTCTGCTGGTAGGTTGGGAAGGATGGTTACAGAACAGGTGACTAAGAATGACTAAGGACAGAACAGGTGACTAAGGATGACTACAGACAAAAGAGGTGACAGAGGCTAGGAGGGGGTTCTTTACTGAAACTAGGGTCAAAGAGGCACAAAGAACAAGGAAGTTAAACTTTAAAATGGAAAACAAAGAACAGGGAAGCTAAACATACTGACATATTGGTTCTTTGAAGAGGAACTCAGAGCTCATTGTACTTAACAATTTTTCTCCCTCTTGAATTTTAAAGGGAGTTAACAGGCTAAACTTTGAAGAGGAATTTACTGTATCCTACACTCCCTTCCCTCTAAACACTTGCTCTTCAAAATGTGGTCCATGGACCAACAATATCAGCAGCACCTGACAGCTTGTTAGAAACATAATCTTGGGGCGGGACGCGGTGGCTCACGCCTATAATCCCAGCACTTTGGGAGGCCGAGGTAGGCGGATCACGAGGTCAGGAGATCAAGACACAGTGGAACCCCGTCTCTACTAAAAATACAAAAAAATTAGCTGAGCATGGTGGCACATGCCTGTAGTCCCAGCTACTCGGGAGGCTGAGGCAGGAGAATCGCTTGAACCCGGAAGGCAGAGGTTGCAGTGAGCTGAGATCATGCCATTGCACTCCAGCTTGGGTGACAGAGTGAGACTCTGTCTCAAAATAAGAAAAAAAAAAAAAAAAAAAAAAAAACATAATCTTGGGCCCCAGCCTAAATTAACAGTCAGAAAACTGCATTTTAATAAGGTCTCCAAGCAATTCATATACACATTAAAGTTTGAGAAGCACTGAGATGCTTTTTTACATTTTTAGTATTTTTTTATTTCAATCGCTTTTGGGGTACAAGTAGTTTTTTGTTACATGAATTGTATAGTGGTGAATTCTGAGATTTTAGTGTACCCATCACTGAAGAAAAAATAAATTTGGACAAAAATTTAAGTATAAAGATAGTTAAGAGCATAGATTCTGGAGCCAGATTTCTTGGGTTTAAGTCCCAGCTCCACTACTCATTAGCAGTGTTATCTCAGGCAAGACTCTGTGTCTTGGTGTCTAAAATGAGGACAACAATAGCACTGATTTCACTAAGTTATTATGAAGATTCAGTGGATTATTATATGTTAAGTGCTTAACCCAATGCCTGGCACAATGTAAATCCTATATGGAGGTGGTATCTATTATTTTTATCTCAGTGTTATTTATAATAGCAAAATCTGCCTGACTATAGAAGAATGCTTAGGTACACTACGGTACACTTACAATGGAATTTTTTTTTTTTTTTTTTGAGATGGAGTCTCCCACTGTGACCCAGGCTAGAGTGCAATGGCACAATCTGGGCTCACTGCAACCTCTGCTTCCCAGGTTCAAGCGGTTCTCCTGCTCAGTCTCCCAAGTATCTGGGATTACAGGCACCCACTACCACGCCCGGCTGGTTTTTGTATTTTTAGTAGAGATGGGGTTTCACCATGTTAGCCAGGCTGGTCTTGAACTTCTAGTCTCAGGTGAGCTGCCCACCTCCGCCTCCCAAAGTGCTGAGATTACAGGCATGAGCCACTGCACCTGGCCACTTACAATGGAATATTGTACAGAATATTAAAAATGAGGTTTTAAAAGAATATTTAATTACATATAATGTAAAGTAAAAAGCCCAGGAAGCAAGCCTGGGGAACATCGCATGACCCTGTCTCTACAAAAAAAAAAAAAAAAAAAACTACCAGGGGTGGTGGTGTGTACCTATAGTTGCAACTCCTCACGAGGATAAGGTAAGAGTTGAGAGGATCCCTTGAGCCCAGGAGTTTGAGGCTGCAGTGAGCAATTATCATGCCACTGCACTCCAGCCTGGGTGACAGAGAAAGACCCTGACTCAAAAAAAAAAAAAAAAAAAGAAACAAAGAAAGAAAAGAAAACAACAACAACAAAACAGTAAATGAATTGTGTATATTGTTCCATACTACTCATGTTTGCTAAAAGAGCACTTTTTACAAATATAGATACCTAGAAAACAACTGGTAGGAATTACATCAAAATATTAACAAAGAATACAACTGGGTATAGACTGGGGGGTTCTTTATACTTTACTGTATTTTCCAAAGTCTCTAGAGCAGTGTTTCTCACACTTTAATAGGTAAACAAATCACTCAGTACGCTCGTTAAAATGCAGCTTCTGGGTTAGTAGGTATGGGATTTTCAGATTCTGCATTTCTGATATGTTCTCCTGTGATGCGGATGATATTGGCCCAAGGTCTGCACTTTGAATAGCAAGGTTTTAAAGCAGCATATCTGAACCAATATACTGGTTAACTGAGACCCACCCCCAGAGTTTGATTTCCGTAGGTCTGGAGTAGGATCCTAGGATTTGCATTTCTAACTGTTTCCCAGGTGATGCTGACACTGCAGGTCTGTGAACAGCACTCTGACAACCGGTGCTCTAGAATCTTTTTTATTTTTTTCTTAACATTAAGGAGGGGAGGGCACTAAAAAATATGTCAGGCTTCTCCATTGCCTCCAAAATCAGATCGAAATTCTTCATCCAAAAGCCCCCATAATGCAACCCAATCATTTCCTACTACTTCTCATTAGGCCATAAAATCAAACCACTATGCCCTAAATGCACCTGAGATTTCAAACATCAGGACTTCCGCTGGATTTCCTCACTCCGGCTATGCCACTTCCTTCTATTTCCTCATGCCAAATCCTACTCAGGCTTCAAGGTCCTCAAATGCTATTTCCTCCATAAAGCCTCCTGATCTACCACTACTCAAAAAGCTACCTCTCCCTCCCCTCCTCAGGGCTGCACAGCACTTTTCGTTCCTCCCCAGTGACAGACACCATCTGTACCTGGTCCAGAGACTCTCCCGGTTGGTGGTGTATCTTTGCCTGTAGACTGGGAATTTCTTGAGGTCAGGGGAGTGACTTGCCTATCTTTGCCTCTTAGCCTTAGCAAATTCCCAGTAGACAGCTGACACTCAGAATTGACCAAAAGAAGAAAGGAATGGGACCTCCTGAGGAAGGGCACAGAACTGTCCTGTAAATGGAAACTAGACCGGACACACGCCAAGCCGATGACCCACAGTAACAGGTGCTCTCCATCTCTGATGTCTGTGATTCATTCTGCACAGCTGCGCATACACAGCGCACGCACACACAGGCTCCCAGAATACGGCGCCCCACACGCTGTACAGCACGCGGCGTTCTGGACGCCCCAACGGCCACACACACCGAGACACACCTCAGCGACAACCTGGATCCACAAAAAGGAGGCCCTGCCCCCTTAAAAATATTAACACCTTACTGCAAAGAACTAAAAGCTACGGCTTGCGCCTGCGCCCCTTGTTCCCCGCCGCACCTTTTCTTGTAGTTAAGAAATCTATTTCTGCACGCATTTCGTCGCCGCCGCCCCCACCCCTACACACACACACACACACACGCACTCCCCTTCCCCCTACACCTCCACCCCGCCACCCAGCCGCCTTTCAGACGAGGCGCGCCTCGGAGAGCGGGATTGAATGGGAAAAAGCGGGGCCGTCTTTGTCATTAATCCTCCCCTCCTTTGGGCCAGCCAAGCTTCTTCCGGGTCAGCGACCATCCCCGCCACCCCACTCGGGGCCACGGTCTCCCCGCAGCGCTAGCCCCGGGCCCGCGAGCACCGGCCGCCGCCGCCCGCAGGTTGCGGAGGGAGGAGGGCGGGAGCGGGCGGCGTGGAGCGGGCAGGCAGCACGAGTTAGTGCAATCTTTCTGAAAAGCAAGTTGACAATGTGCTTCGAGACTTTATTAAAAT